GATGATTGGGGCCTCTGGGCACTTGTGGCAGAGCCCCTCCACAGGGCAGTGGGAAGCAGCGGGAACTGCCACCGCCGCTCGGCACTCATGCTATACCTGTTGCATCCCACTGGTGCAGCACAGCACACAGTGCCCTGCTGAGCCATCTGGGAGCTGGGGCAGCCTCACGTGTCAGCCAGAGCCTGGCATTGCTCAGCCCCAGTGGCCCCTGCTCCCAGACAGCGCACAGTCAGACAGCACGCAGTGCCCTGCCAAGCTGCGCTGCACCCACATGATGTGCCAGCTGTGGCATGGGTGCCAAGCAGAGGCGGGGGGGAGCTCTGCCACAAGCGCCCAGAGGCCCCAATCACCGCTCCTGCAGCTAGTGAGAACAGGGTTTTTATTTTACTTTTTTTTTTAAGTGCCAGGAGGCTGGGCCAGGTGGGGGATGGGGCGGGGCAGGGCAGGGCAGGTCAGCCATGGGGCCTTCTCCCGCAGCTCCCCCCACCCAGGGAGAGGCAGGCACACCCAGAGGAGCCGCAGAAGAACGTACAGCTGCCTGGCTGTGCGCCTGTCTCTCCCCAGCTGATCCGAATCGCCAAACCTCTCTGAATCAGCACTGAATCTTCCGAGGCTGATTCAGCCAAATCACTGTCCTCCAAGTCAGCCAAATCCAAATCTAAATCAAATACTTCCTGATTTGCCCTGTCCTACTAGCCAGAAGGCAGCCCCCGCACTAGAGCACCCTCATGCCTCAGAGAGCCCCAGTCACCATCTACACGTGTTGTGGTGGCATAAATTACTCCGCAATAGGACAAGTACTATCCTACAGTGGAGTTAATTTACTGCACCCTAATACCAGCATACATGTAGACTATCACACTGTCCTTGGGCCCGCACTGTTCAACATCTTAATCAGTGACTTGGACAAGGGGGCAAAAAGCACCCTGTTCAAATTTGCTGATGACACTAAGATTTTGAGGGATGTGGGCACGCTAGAAGGGAGGAATCGGCTACAATCAGACCTAGACAGGTTACAGGGGTGGGCGGATGAGACTAGTTAGTGTTGAATCCAATCCAAGTGCAAGGTGATGCACCTGGGGAGGAAGAACCAGCACCATACCTACAGGCTGGGGAACTCCCTTCTTGTCAGTACAGAGGCAGAAAAGGATCTTGGAGTTATCATTGATGCCAAAATGAATATGGGCAGGCAGTGTGGGGATGCAGTCAGGAAGGCCAACCGCACCTTGTCATGCATCCACAGATGCATCTCAGGGAG